GAAGCATTTTCATTTTAGGTCACGCACACCTCCACTTGAGCTTAATTACAGTCAACACTTCTTTCCCTGTGTGTCTGATTTAACATTATACACGGTTAATGCGAAAGTCATACCCCGAAAAGGCAACGGTGCCTGAATGAATATTGTACTATTTTGTCACATCTCTGTATGTGGTTGCAGTGAGGGGGGGGCGGATGGGGGGGGGGGGTCTCATCCCAGCCAAAACCTACCGCATATGAGTGGAAATCTTTTTTTCTTTCTTCTTAATGACATGGCTGGAGCCCATTTGGAGTTTTATGTTTCATTGAGCCAATTAAATATTCGGCCCGTTTGAAATCCGGCAGTAGCTCATAATCGACTGCTGCGTCACCGTTTGGACCGAGGCAGCAGAGCTGGAACCGTCGTGTGTGTGTCAATCATTTTGATCGGTGGAGCTGATTACAGGCTCTTGACTCAAAATGCTAAATACCACTTGTTGTGGAGGCAATGACACAACCGTCTTTAGAGGCCACGCTGAAAGGTCGGATCAGATGGCTAATTTGCTTTGTTAGAAAATAAGTATATATATCGCTTTACTTTTCCACTTGACAGTTTTATTATATTTTGTAAACATCTTTTCAAGTCAGTGCAAAAACGTGTTTGTGCCGCACTGTGTCTTTTTCACCGTCTTTCTGCCTCTCTCTCCCTCTTTCTCCACCTCTCTCTCTTCCGCTCTCTTCCGCTCTCTCTCTCTCTCTCTCTCTCTCTCTCTCTCTCTCTCTCTCTCTCTCTCTCTCTCTCTCTCTACCTCCCTGCTGTGCTCCTCTGCTTGTAACCTTAGCCTCTTTGTGGGGGGGATTTGAACGTCAAGTCCTCACGTCGGTTTTGCTTACGCTTCCTCGGGGTAACTAGACAGGTTTGATCAGTAATTGCAGTGTGACGTCCCCCGCTAAGTCTCTGTTTTCACCTGCTCAGGATCTGATGTCATGGACTGACATCCTTGTAGGGATTAATATGGTTATCACTGAGTAAAAAGTGACAGAGTAAAACGCAGCTTTATATTGAGTGACGTGCTTCGTCAAACTGTTGACATTTACAAAGCTTACAAGTCAAACGATCGATTGCTTCTTTCTGATTTTGTGTTTTGTGCGATTTAATGTTGAGTCTGCATACGAGCTGGCCTCCTCTTGTGGTGCAATAAGTAAGTAAGTAAAGGAGAGAGACAAGCTGGACCGTAGCTCAGGTCCCAAAACATAACGGGCACAGCGACAATTGCAAACCCTCTGGTGTGAATCAAGAAATTGACGTAGAATTGACGAGGGGTTCATTCCACCGGCAACACTCACTCTCTCAGGGATATGCAGCGACATGACCTCAAATCAGCCTTTTGTAACGACATCGACACTCTCACACAATCCAGCGGCGGAACATTGGAAGTGGCTGCGCTTGCGAGGACAAGTCGGGTCAGGACTGAGCCTCACACCGCGTTGCAAGTAGAATGATGAAATACTGACGATATTTGGTGATGCTAAATGCAAAACAGTGTCGCTGCCCGATTTCCTGGATGGATCTCCTGGGTGTAGCTACTGAAATACTAAATAACTAGAAACACACAAGTGATCAAAGCAACAGTACACATAAAAAAAACAATTGCAGTTTCCACCCGCTTCTCACACATTTTACACATTTCTTTTATCTTCTCGCGATCCAATCTTAATGACTCCATTAACCAAGAGGCCATTAGCGGCATTCGTTTTATAGCCATCCAAACTGCCCAGCCGGGAGCACATTATGGAAAGGGCATGTGTGTCCTAATGTCCGTTTGTTGTCATCCTCCTTTCTCACACACACACACACGCTCGCTCACTCAATCTTTCCCCCAAAGGCCAGCTAGCCTGAAGCAAGCAGGAGTGGACAAACGATTACGCAAACAGGGCCATTTTTTCTGCTCCATTAGGCGACGAGGAGCAAAGGTTTCGTGCAGGCTGCAGTGCCTCGCGTCGGTGGTCAAGCAGCGGAGGATTGAAGGCAGAGGGAAGTGAAGTGCTGCTTGGTGTTAGAAAAAGATCTCATATCCCAAATTAGCCCTGCTCTCTGCGGAGCAGAGGCTGTCTGAGACACTTCGGGGGTGAACTACAACCCAAGAGGCAGCACGGGGCATGATAGCAGATGCCAGTCACCGAACATGGTTTATTCAGCGTTTGTCACAGTCTAAACATTTCTTTCCCTGTGATAACACCACAGCACACCTTTTGGAGATGTATTCCCTGCTGCATGACAGCTCTGATAAAGAAATTACAGCTCCTGATCGCCTTTGAAGAAACAGCAGCTGTTGCCACCAAAGAACCGCAAAATGCTTAATGATGCAGACAATGAGGAAATGTGTTTTGGCCTTAACAGTAAGTAGAGAATCATCAAGGAACGCTAGTACAAATACAAATCTGGGATATGGAATTAGAATATTGAACCCTGAGGGACGATGGGCTCAGTGGTCCGGAAGGACCTCGCTTGTAACAAACATCGGCATCGGGAAGTTGGAAACGCGACGTGAAATAGTATCCTGTGAAGCGCGTGCATCCCGGCTCAGGTCAAGTGAAAGGATTGAAGCACGCTGCACCAGCACGGTATACTGCTGCCGGGAAAAGCACTGAAATAAACGCAGACGGAATGACAGGAAGACATAACTGATCATTTGGCACGTCACGCCCATATCGCCCCTTCTGTTTCTGCATGTCTAAACACGCTGGGCAGAGCAGAGCGTATGTGATTCAACGCGGACGCTTTACTGGTTCTGCCGAATGACTCATGCAGTTATTTTGTGACTGTGGGGCTCCGCTGTGGAGGGATGGGGGTCAAAGTGCATTTGGTCACTGAAGCAAATACACTCCGTGACACGTACATGAAATCTCTAGTGGATGACAAATGTGCTGCACAGGAACAGAGACCCGAAATGGGTGGGTTGCCAACCCGCAATGGTTCGGGGCTGTTTCCAGCTGCACGTTTGTGCCAGGTGTCGTATTTCATTGATTTTGTTCTGTGCCCTCCGCTCCCGTTTGTTATTTGTTACCCTGGTACTATAACATCCCATGCTAAATGCATCTTTTCTACTTCCTGCTCCCGGCTAATCATAAACTCTGCAGGCAAATGGTTGGTCCCGCTGAGAGGCGAGTACAGATACTCTTTATCTCGTAGGAGGGGGGTTTGAGACCCGCCCAACCCCGGTATTAGATCACTAGTGTGGGAGCAGTGGGTTTCAGACGCCTGTACTTTATTTCCACTGAGCAGAGCTGGACAGCGGTTTATGCTGCCCGCTTGTTTTTCCACTCTCCAGAGGTGTGTGAGACCATTTATCAGCCACCAGAAGAACATATATCGATGTGCAACACAGCCGGGGAGTTTAGCTTTTATTACACTTTAAACTGCAAGGTCAACTTGGCAGGAATCTGTGTCAAAGCTGTCAAGCGTGGAAACATGAAACAAATAGCCCAAGCACAAGACGTGTTGTAAAACACAGAGATAAGGGCCGGGCGTCTCCATGCGAACGTTGGTTTATGTTTACACATGTGGAATCAGCTAATATACTGAGAGGCTCCTGGCTTTACTCGCTCTTCAGTGGAGCCGACGGGCGCAACCTGAACGACTGGAGAACATCTAAGGCGAGTCCAAATTGACGTCACACGATGGAACGCGACAGGATTCGTCAATCCGAAGGCGCAAACCTGGGCTAGCGTTATTCTCTCCTCATTGTCCCTTCTGTTTATGGCCACTTGTCATATTAAAAGTCCCGCCGTGTACTTCCACTTTCCCGCAGCGGCCCTGGCGACAGCGTAATGCAGTGAGTCTTCACACGCCTCTGAAGCCGTCGCAGTGACAGTCCTCCCTTCCTTCTCCGGGTCTTCTGACAGTGACAAAGGGGATCGGCAGCGGTGTGTTATCAGCGCGCAGCTGCAGTAATCGTATTATTTAGTAATCTTAATTCGGAGAGGCTGACCAACAGTGTGAACAAAGCGGGGTCTCGCTAAGCCCATCACAGTGCCCCCATGGAGCGGAGGTCTTTTCCTGCTCCGCCACCCTCCCTCCTGCCTCTCTGTTTCTCACCCTCTCTGTTGCTTTCTGTCTCACACTCTCCTCTCTCGCTCTCTCGTTCCTCGTCTGTTCTTTCCCTTCAATCTAAAGCATGTTTCTCATTTCTCACTTTCTCGCTTGTTTTTTCCCCCCCTTTGTTTTTTGGTAGCGCTTGGCGCTGGGGGTTTGTGTAATGGCGTTATTCACAGTTCATTGGTCTGTTTGAAGGGACTATCTTGATTGAGAGTCTCCCGGTGGAGGGCCGGGTGACTGCGGGAGTGAATAAAGACGGGGGGATGTGTCCACGGAGATAGATGGGTTTAGCAATATGCAGGACGGAGCTGGGTTTCAGTGTAAGGTTTCATTTAATGCAACGCATAAGGAGATAATAGGAGGCTGAAAATGTCTACGGAGCCGGGATGCGTTGCTCAGGGCATTAGACGTGAAATGGAGGCAAACAAGGAACTAGTCAGGGAAGCACAGTCATTTCCGTTAGCTGGTTCAGCCCCCCTAATGAATGCAAGGACACTGACACAGAAACCCAAACCGCTCTGAGAAGCAAGAAAATACTCTCCCCACTAATTAGTTCAAATTAACCTCAGGACCAATATGTTGGCGAGCACACACACAGAGGGAAAGGCACCTCCTTTGCCTCTTTCTGACACCACTCTGATGCTGGTGTAAGCTTGGCTGTAACATCAAAATCTCCCTCTTTGGAGCACACACACACACACACACACACACCTACACATGCTCAAAGTGCCTGCAGCAGAGGAAGCACAGGGAAGCGAATCCTCAGTGGAGACGGCAGTAAAACTAACACTGCAGAAAGACGGGCCGCGTCCGCGTTCCTGCACACATGGGCTAAACACACGCCAATGACATGCAGGATACATCTGAACAAATACACACAGAAACTCACACACACACGTGAAAAGAAAGAGAGTCCTACTTACGGAATGAATCGGACGGTATCAGAAGCGCAGTGCCTTATTATCGCTGTGGTAGTGAGTCAACAGAGATCTGAGACCAGGGTTTTAGCACTTTGGCTGAGGGTGGCGGGGGGCACCGGGGGGGGAGGAGGGGGGATCAGAGGGGTTCACTCTGTGTCATTGGGGATGAGGACACGTAGAGGGAACCTGGAGGATTTCAGTGTTTATACTCGGTTGGAGAAAATAATCCCTTCAGAGCAAGGTAAGAAAAATCAACAGTTGATGAAAGGATGGTTTGATTGTGTGCACAAAGAAAAACCCGCGATTGGTTGGTCCGCTGTTTGTCTTTTTCCTCTGTCTGACTTTAAGAAAAAAGGTGAAAAATACAACAGTCACTCTTGGAAATTTAGAAAAGGAAGCAGGGGGGCGCGGGGGGGGGATTAGTCCATTGAGCCCCACCTTTCCTTTTCTGCTGTCTGTTTTTTTGCTTTCTTCTGTCTGTCGTGTGTCTCTGGTTTGCAGAGGGCCGATGAGCAGAGGAACACCGGCGTCACGAAACCAATCACGTCGCCATACGACGGGGGAACATAACGGAGTAAACGACAAGCAGATGAAGGGGAGGATTTCCGACACCTGCTCTCTCCCTCTGTTTCTCTGCCTTCCCCCTCTCTCTCTCTGTGTCTCTCTACCTTTCTAGAAACAGCCTCCTCTCGCCCAGCCTGTTATTTTTTCGTGCGCAGCCCTGTCACACTATACGGATGCAGATGAGGTGAGGTTCTCCAGAAGCTATGAACGCAGGGATGCTCCCCTTCTTTCTTTCTGTCTCTTATTTCTTTCCTTCACTCTCTCTGGGCGTTACAGTCGGCACAGAATGACAATCAATGGCAAGCTGTCTGCCGCGCCGGCCTCGGGTGTCTGTCTGGCTCTCTGGCTGACACTTGGAGAAAAGGGCTGCGTGCCCGTCTCCCTGTCTTCCTATGGGTCTGTCTTACCAGCCTCAGAGCCTGTCTGTCAGTAGAGCTGTCTCACCAAACCATCCTTCAATATGTCTTCCTGCCAAACACTGAGATACAGACCAGGCAGGTGCAGGGGGGGGGCATAACCCGACTCGCCTGCTCAAGTGCCCCCCCTGGTGTAAATTCTGACCCAGCCCATCGTGGTAACTAGCCCCCAACACGGCACGGGCGAATTATAAAAGAGACTCGTAAGGATTTTGAACAATAGAGAAGTAACTCTCTATTGTTCTTCTCTCGCCACGTGTTCTTCCTTCTGGCGGCTTTCTTCTATGTTCTGCCTCTTTTCCCCTTCTTCTCTCCTCAGCGCCGGTCTCCTCGCTTGTTATCTATTCTGGACAGTGCGTCCCTCCCCTCTCTCCGTCACCGAGGAAGGATGAAGAAGAATGGTGCTGCTTCATAATATATTTCTCCACAATGTATGAAAAAGATGGTGGGAAAGAGGTTTCTTTTCAAATTGTTCCTTTGGAAAAAAAAAAAAAAAAAACACAACAAATCAAAATAGAGACCCTCTCGGGGAGGAATTTTCAATTACTCGCTTTTGCCCACAAGCCAATCGGTAAAAGTGCCCCAGCCGCGAGGTTTGCGCGAAAATGTCGTAATCTTGATAGGATATCCGGCCGATAAATCCAGACAAGTCTGAAAGCTTCATACCTTTGCTTAAGCATCGCTGCGGCCTATTTCATGTCAGGTCCAAGAAGTTCGTTGGTGGTGCGCAACAGGTTGATTGGTTTGTTGTAAGTCAACTCCTCCGAGGCCCCCCCCCCCCCCCCTCCCCCTCCTCCCCCGGTGCTTGGATTGACTTCCTGTCGGCGGCTTCTGGTGAACTCGGTCTAGCTTGACCGGCCTCAACCCCGCAGGTCCGGTCCTCGCCGGGAAGGTCGGCGCTGATGGCTGGAGATGGTGGAGGCGGTTAGGTGTGGAAAGCTCGTCGCTGGAGGGTGTATGTTGGCTTCCATGCTGCCCATTTGGTGTCCATCTCTGCAAGGCCTCCGATCTGGAAGGAGAGGAGGAGGAGGAGGAGAGGCAAAGTAGAGAGGGGGGGGGAGGAGTGCATGAAAGGTTAGTATGGTGACATTTGTGTCACTCTGCCTTATCCCGTACGTCATTCTCCTCCTCGTCACACTCCACCCCGCCTGTCGTCCTGCTGTCTATTCTGTCCTTGTCACTCTTCCTCCGACTTTGCTGCCTGCTCGCTCCTCCGCCCCCTCGACTCGCTCGATGATTTGATCCTTTCGCTCTCTCCCAAACAAGCACCATCTTCAAACACTCACCTCTGACACGTCTCTCCTCTATTCCCTATATCCAATCACGGATCTACACCTCGCCTGCTTTCATTGTATCGTTTCTCCTGCCCTTTTCTATAATTCCAGTTTGGCTGTCCATCACACTTCACAGTATCCAAGATGCATTTGATGGAGTACACTGAGGGCCGGGGGAAGGAACTCTGACTGGTAAATGTGCCGCAGGCAGCTGGGAGACGGGAGTCCGGGCTCAAAGCATCGGTACAGATACGAGACGTCCCACTGGAGGAGGTGCAGACAGCCTGGCATAGGCTGTCATTTTAAGTAAGAATTCAAACTAGCGAACGAACATGAAATATTTGATCTGCTGGAATTTGGAATCCTGCGGGGACGGATTCCAATGGAATGTGCATTGCAATTCTCAGTGTTCCCAAAACAAAGCGTCCCTCTGATCCACCGCGCGCCCCGCTGCCCTCAGCGAACTCGCTTTGCTCTCCCCTGTGAAGCAAAAAGGAAAAGGTCGACATTGAGAGCCGTGCCGAATGGATAATCGCGACACCATCTCGGAGGTAATTGGAGGAAGCATTCAACGCCATAGACAGGGAAATGGTGCAAAGAGATGTGGGTGTTGGCAAACTTTGTTAACTGCCTTATAGCAACGGCAGCCTGTCACTGGGCTGAGGAGGCTGCGGCGCCACGAATGAATGGAACAGAATTAAGTCCACCGTGTATTTTATGTCAAGGGTACATGTGTTTAAACCAATTACATGTCAGTTAGAATTTGTTCCACCTGAAAGTGTCACAGCACCCGTATAGACTGATGCCCCCATGTTTCTCACACTGCTATGGAGGTACTAATAGACAGCTGATGTTTGGATATAATACCCGACACGCGTATCATGGTGTAAAGAAATTGTGCTATTGGGTTCAATTGTAAAAGTGAAAAATCTCCTCATTAAGAAAAGGTGAAAATGTCTGAGCTTATTTCAATGCTTTTACAAACAAAACCAATGTCAGATTTGAGAATAACACCAAAAAAACATTTACAGGCCACATGTGATACGTTTGTCGTATTAGATTAGTGCCTTTTTTCATCAGATTTAGCTTTAGTTTACCCTTTTTTATCAGTTGTTCATCTCCACATTGTGCTAAAACATTCTAAGCTTTCCATCCCTCTTCATTCCTTCAGACAAGAAATAAGGGTTAAAATGAGGAGGGTTCTTTCCTTTCCCCATAATTGTACCACCTTTTGTTGAATGAAGATAAATCTGAAAATAGCAGCAGGATGTAAAACAGAGAGTCTCGATTCTGTTACTATGCAACAGTTTGCACCTGTTGAATCTATAGTGGTTTAAATCAAAAAGCTCCCTGTTAAATACCGTCTTAATTCAAAACAGCATAGAGAATAGAAGCATTTCTTTAAGCGTGCAGCCATTTATTGACCAAATGGACTCATTTAACAGAACTAAAACAAAATCATCCTACAGGTTTAGTGACGTTAAAAGATGATGGTCCATTTAATTTGAAGCACGCCATTCGATGTATCAGCTCCGATCAATAACGCTGTGTGGATAGATGTGACCGTCCTGTGACACCCACATCCCCCACGGACCATTTAGTGTGACACTGTGTGTGCGTGTGTGTGTGTCGGTTTGCAGACTATCAAGGTCAGGGGTCCGTGTCCTGCCTGCGAGTGTGTGTGTGTGTCTGTGGGTGGGGGGCGTCTTGTGCACGTGTGAAAAGACGTAGGGGGGTGTGATTTGTGTACAGAAGGGAAGATCAGCAGGAGGGCAAGAAGGATGTTGCGGTGTCCAGCACAGACTGTGTCTCTGTCCTGCTGCCGGTATTTGTGTGTGTGTGTGTGTGTGTGTGTGTGTGTGTGTGTGTGTGTGTGTGTGTGTGTGTGTGGTGTGCGTGTGCGTGTGCGCGCGTGCATGTACATGTCACAGCTGTCATGCTTGCAGCAATTAATCACATTGATCCACTTCATAACCTTTTGTTCCGGCGGATCCCCCACACTGTGGCTGAACACACACCTCTTTGCCCTCTCTGCCTTGTGGAACAGGTGCACAGGCGGCGTGAAACGCCACCAACATGATTGACACAGACGCAGGAATAGCAATCCTTACAGACACACACACACACACACACAAAGCATCTCGGTTCATTGCGAGCAAAGAGACTCAAACATCTCAAACAGAATGTGGAGAGGAGCTTGGAGAGATCACATGGAAGTGACCCATACAGATTTCTTCCAAACCCATCAAACGGCGGTGGCCTGCTCGATGGATAGGTGAGGGGGGGGGGGGGGGGGCTGGGTGGCAGTGTGAGTGGGTGAGAAACACAAGGAAATGCAGGGGAGACCCTTTAGGGGTGAAAATGCTCCGAACAAAACATACGAGGAAGCAGAACAAGAGAGATGCGAGAAACAAGAAAACGAGAGGCAAATAGAGGATGGAGATGGGTGGGGAGAGAGAGAAAAAAGGGGGTGAGGAGGACGGACACTCACCCATTTCAGCGGGGCTCTCAACAGGCGAGCACAATCCCCGCTCTGTGATCCCATCCTGGGGAAAAGGCGCAGCGAGATGCCGGAGCTCCCTCCGCTGAATACCAATGGGGCTGCTGCTGTCCGCTCACACGCGCGCGCTCCGCCGCTGTGGAGGCAAAGCAGCGCGCACACGGAGTCAAGTCTGGGGTAGTTGTTTAAACCAAAGGGGGGGACGAGGAGAGGGGGGGGGGGGGGGGCTGTTCAGTAATGCAAACGGGATTTCACAACATCACAGACATTGCAGCACAACTGCCTCTTATTTTCTCTGTCTACGTGGAACATAAAAATAATAAACAACAGCAAAAGGAGCATCAGAGGCATCGATCCGCGCGCACACGGACATTTGCAGCCTATTCAAATACTTACTGAGCACATCTTCAATCCCGGCGAGTCTCAAAGTCGACTCTTTCCTGGCTCGCGGCTCCGCGGCTTCTGTAGGGGGGGGGAGGAGGAGGTGGGGAGCGGGGTGGAGGTGGTGTGGGGGGGGGGAGTGGTCCGCAATTTCTTCCTTCTCCCCCTCGGCGGGGTTCCTCGCAGCAGTATGTGATGCACAGATCAAAGGATGTGGAGGAAACACTCTTGCCCCCCACCCCCGCCGCCCCGCCCCCCCACCCCCCCCTCACATGCGGTGTACATCCAGTGTGCCCGCATCCATTTGTTGATTCAGGTCCAAACCGTCCGCGTGCGCGTGGAAATTCGCTGTGATTCCGTGACACGCGACGGCAAACTGCATTCACTTAGTCACCCTCCCTTCTCTCCTCTCTCCCCTCTGTCTCTCCCCGTGCTCAATAGTATGCCAGTAACCCCCTCGGCTCTCTCCAATCTAATCAGCTCTCTCTCTCTCTCTCTCTCTCTCTCTCTCTCTCTCTCTCTCTCTCTCTCTCTCTCTCACCCACCTCCCTCCTCTCGCAGCACCCACTCCTCTCTCTCTCTCTCTCTCTCTCTATCTCTCCTCTAGGTATTTCTTCTCAACGATGAATATCTCACAGCCTCCTCCCACCCTCTTTCTTCCCTCTGTCAGTCTCTGAGATAAGCATTGAAATAAGGGGAAAGGCAAAAAAAAACTGTCCATGAAGGAAACACACACGCACACACACTAATCATGGGGATGTGTTACATCCCTAGCCGGGGTAAACTCCCTTGACAGAGTTTGACATGGCTACATGCTCAGGGTGACAAACACTATCACAACACCGAGCCACTGGCCTCACAGCCAATGACACACATCACGCACTGACACACACTCACATACATATATATAGATATACATCTACACACACAGCGGAATCAGATGTAAACACGCGGGCGGGCTCACACACTCGGGCACATATTGACATAACATGAGCACGCCGTTGGATCAAACATGTGTGCGTTTAAAGTTAGTCTGCATGTTAAAGGCAACTCTGACGTTACATTATAGATTAAGACGTTTACTACTTGGATACATTGCATTGGTCTGACGACAAACCAGCGGGATTTCAGTTTATTGTAATCAGCTAAAAACATAGTCATTAAAAACATGTGGACTTTGAGAGCTACTTACACAGAAACTGCTGTTTTAATTGTCAAACAATATGCTGGAAAGGCCCTTACTGGAAATAGTGTACATTTTTATAGAGTCGTACTTTTTCGACCACCGGGCAAACACAAATAATGTAGGCTCACACATTGCTGAATATCATTCGTCCCTCTCGACCCTTCACGTGGACGGCGGGACTCCCTTGAACGGAGCCGACATCCTCCTCACTATTTATAACGTTCACTCATGTAAGGCACAAGTCCACAGCATCGAGCAGACAGCGGTCTGCGGAGGCACTGTGTGATGTCACTGCCTGTATGTCGCTTCTCTCGCGCCGCGCCGTCTTGTCCCCCACTAACGAGGCCGGGACGGTGGCCCCGTGAGGCCTTTGTGGTTCCCCGGTCGCGTCCGTGCAGATTCGATACAGATGTTTGTCTTCCTTGCAGGACCCGATGCTCCTTTAGCAATTCACGTCCTCCCAGGTTATTAAACTCACCGCGGAGGGTTGAATCATTGATTCTTCTCACTCTGAGCGGCTCTTTAATTGCCGGTGAAGACGCTGTGTTGGCCTGCAGTGATTTCTGGAAGTTCAGATTTTCAGATGCTCCGTCACCAGATTGACGGATGTCGTCTTGTTAAATTAACAAGACGACATCTAAATCTGTCATGTGCCCATTAACATTTAAATCCACGCTGCTCCAGTTCAACCAAAGATACACAGGGGTGTGACGTACAGAAAGGACTTATTTGTTTCTCCCATATTGACTAATGGCCTCTGATTTGAGCCTTTGGATGCATCAACTTTGGTCCGTCCACTAAGCCGTCCCCTAATCAAACAGGGACGCGGATATAGTATGTGACGATGCCGAGCTGTCCCCTCTGCTTTGGTCTCAAACAGACCCCCACCCCCCTTCACCCGCCTCTCCCCACTCAATGCTTCATCGTGTTTCCACCTATTCGCTTTGCATCTCATAAAATAATGTGCATCTCAAGATGTCTTTGTCTAGTGGGCGGACGGTGCAGGAACACCTATTACTCACTCATGCTTCGGCCTATTAGACTGCAGCCGTGTCACAGCAGAGGTTCCCTCAGGCCGTGTGTGTGTGTGTGTGTGTGTGTGTGTGCGGACATTTGGATATGAATGTTTCTGCATCCGTCCTACTCACAAATTCAAAATCCTTTATTTATCTCTTTGCACGTTGTGTGTGCGCGTGTGCATTGTGTAATTTACCCCTCTCTTGGTTTTCAGCATGACTCGGTGACACTGAAACTGCTCCGTGAGATCGACTGCCTGCACATTGTGCTTAAACTATATATTGATAATGCAACGTGTGAAATACAATTTAGGAAAACAACTTAACGTTACTGGAGATTTAGGCCTCACAGCATCCACTGCGAGAACGCCGTCACTCTGTTTTATTCTTCTTCCTGACTCTAAATATGCATTTAACAGCTGTCTCTCTCATCTCCATCCCACACCCCTTTGCTCTTGACAAATTGATGTGAAGTGCTTTTACATAACAACTACGTATCAGTCACACACACACACACACACACACACATACACACACACACACACCGACGTAAACCTTACTTGAGCATTACGCATCGCTGTAATGTGGCTCCCGCGTTAACTATTGCTTGGAGAGCATGCAAAAAAATAGGGGAGGGAAGAGGAAGACTGAGGGAGGGGGGGAGGGTGTGGGGGGGGATTGACATTCTGCCCGAACACTGCGCTTTGCTCGTGGAATAATGATTAGCTCCTCAGTATTCTAGTCACAAATACTTCACTATCAATGAGAGCGGGTGGGGAGGGGGGAGGAGGGAGGAGGGGGGGGGGGGGGGGGGATGCAGCGCGAAAGCAGAGGAGCACAGGGAGGTAGAGCGAGGAATGAGAAAAGTGAGGAGTAAAGGAAGACAGAAAAGATGAGCGTATAGTGTGACACATAAGCAGTGGATGCAGCTGCTAGTATGCTGCAGTATCCTCACACACACACACACACACACACACACACACACACACACACACTCACACAGAGGCTCAACAGTCAGACATTTGCAAGCTAAAAATGAAGCTAATGCAAACACTCTTGAGCCCCCTTGCAATGCATCCACAGAGAGAGAAATACACCGCTGCACGCGTGGAGACTACTTTGTCAAAGTCACAGCAGGTACAGCCACCTCAGCAAAGAGAGAGACAGGGGCTGTGTCGCAGGGAGGAGGGGGGGGGGGGGGGGACAAGGGGAAAGACAAAGAGACGGGGGAGTAGTGATGAAAAGGGGGGGGAAGAGAAATTAAGAGCAAACAGAGGGGGGGAGGAGGACGCCTGTGTAAAAGAATATATATATGTATTCACAAAGCGTAGAGAATGATAAATGTAACCCATTACTTTAACAGGTCAATCATACATTAATAACTATGATAAGTTAATAGAGTCGGGAAGTCTGCCGTAGTGGAGTAAGTTTGCGTCAGTGTGCTCACTCAGTCCAATACAAAGAACTACATCACGTTTTTGCTCGCCCCCCTAAATCAGACTTTACTTTTGAAGATGGATTATCATTAAGAAGTGAAATCATTTTTAATTAAGATGGAAAGTCTTGAGCTACACTATTATAATTTAATAATGTCACTTAAAGAGCGTGAACAAATGGTATCAATCAGCGTTATAGACATTAATATTTAAAGGCATTAACGGTAGATGGTTTGATCTTAGAATAGTGGCTTCATGTGTTAAAGAGAAAATAAAAGCACAGTCACAGTAGAGACTGTGATTAAAATCTAGAACTCACTATAAGCAGATTTCACCGAAGTCATTTGGTAAATGTACAAATGTTTAAAATATATACTTTATAAAAATGTCTGTCTTTCATATGAAAGCAGTATTATTTCTCTTGCAGGGACATATTTCATAGCACACACATTGACCTTAACATGATTTATGATATTTTAATATGTCATTTTCACTGGTAATACTTTTGACCTTTAATGGATGATAGTTTTGCCGTGATATGTATATTGCATCCCTTAGAAGTAGAGTGCGTTGCTGTGTTCATGTAGTTCTGCGTTTAAGGGCTCGGATGAAATCGCTCTCCTCTCTAGGAGGCCAAACGGAAGAGCGATTAGCATGAAATGCGAAGGGCTTTTGACCACAGACGACAGGGAGACATTCTAAGACACATGTCCCCTGAAAGGCAACACGGCAATTACTATAAAGAAAAGACCAAGCCCAATTTTCTTTTTTAAACCGTTACCTTGGAAACAAAGAAGTGACCTGCAGCTCCAGTTCTCCAAGATGTCAATAAAAATGGCATCATCAAACCATGACTCCAATACTGCAGAGACCTCAGGGTCTCCAGTGGTTGAGGCTTTGCAGAGACTGTACAGAATGTTACTGTAGCTCTATAGTTCCTACTTCCATTGATTTACCGTCACACACCTCTAGCCTAATATTTCACTAACATTTGCGATGTATCCAAGAGACAGATTATTACTTCCCTGCTGTGGCGACTGTGTTCTAGAGGCCTATATGTCAGACTTGAATGTGTAAATTTAACAGGAAGTCAAGGGTGCTGATAAAACGGTAGGATTTTCTCATTTGTTTGTTGCTTTTTCAAAAAGTTTCCTTTAGAAGAAAAGTCTATACTGGGGATGAGGCATCTTGCTCCCTGAGGTGTGCAGTTGCCGCAGGGTCTGTGGGACGTATGAGGAGTAGTTAGCTCGGCGTATTTAAAACATTTTGAATCTACGGGTTAAACGAGAATAACGCCTAAATACCACAATTTGATTAAGAGTGTTGGAAGACAATTTTGCAATAAAGCAGAGGAGATAAATGTAATGGCAAATGTGGTGGATCTCAGATCTTTAACTTGAAAGGAAAGTAGCTAAGAAAGATATTAAAACACAAATCTTACCCAAGTAAAAGTACACATGTATTACCATCATGATACACTTAAAAGGGAGAAGTAACAATTTGACAGAATTCTCACTTAGAATTCAAATAGAAAATGGTCTTTACTTGATCATAAATGTGTACATTACATTGATTTATGTTACTTGACTTCAAGTCTAAAACTTCCGAGTAACTAGACATGAGAAGCAGTAAAAAGTAAGATAACCTCCTTAGAAGTTAAGCAGAAGAAGTAAACATTACAATTTACATTATATATAGAATATATAGTTGAAAAAATATCAGAGGATATAAGGTTACATAATGCTAAACGGAGCCCGCTGCTTGACCAATAGTTAAAATATACAGACGTCCAGCGAAAGTAAACAGACAGAATGTCTATTGCATCGAATTTAAAAGCTCACATTAAAGCTATAAATATGCGTTGTATATTTGAGGAGGTGCAACATAAGCAACAGGGCTCCTGGTGTCCTCCACCTGCACAGGACGCGGTGACGTCAGCGAGTTTACTGCTGCTGAATATGCACATTTCACTTTTGAGGGTCACTTGGGTATTTTTAGTGTTTGACATGAAAATGAGAGGATATGAGAATCAAAAGGGATGCCCAGGGTGAGGGCAGCTACTGCACGTGTGTGCATGTTTTTTTCATGGTTTCATTTGCAACAAGGACATTCCTGACTCTAATGGTTGTTTTAGGACACCATGACTCTGCATAATGGTCCATTACATGTAGTTGTATTAAAATATAAAACCCCCCATTTCACTGCCTCCTTCTACCGTTTGTAAATGCCATGAATATTTAAAACATACAATTGAGGAAACCGTTGCACATACAAGCCCATACCGTAGCTTGTATTCATGCATGACTAATTATAATTTACTTGCCATTGGTTTGTGTGTATTTCCATTACTGAAGTGAATTTGAGTTGGTTAGAAAAAGTTTAGTTTTATGCCAGCATTATATCAGTTAAGTATATTAACTATATACTAGGCACAATTGCATAGAGTTCTGGTTTTAATATTACGTTTTTTCCCGATGATAAACAGCAGGCCCAAAAATTTCAAGGAGAAAAATAAAGCACATATTTTTCCAATGGCTGCCCGTTGACTCTCTAGAAAAAAGCATTGAAGAGCATCTGGATTTCTGGCACGGACTCATTTTTTATCCTGAGGAGGCCTCTATTTCCTGATATGCTTCTCACGCTGTGCAGGAATGCTGCCATTTCCCCAATTCAGTAACCTGCAAAACTCATCAGCATTTCTCCCACTATGTCATGAAAACAAACTAAGACAGATTGCCCCTGTGTGTGTGTGTGTGTGTGTGTGTGTGTGTGTGTGTGTTTTCAATCCCCCGTGTCAGCTATCACTGGGTGGGAGACAGCCATAAACTGCGCTTTAGAAACCTATAATGTTCTAGTGCAGCGCCGGCAAAACTTATATGATATTATGCCCAGTCCCATTTAGACAAAAATGGGATCATTATTTTTGATAACTGCTACAAGTGCTGGATAATTTCATTGCTCAACTTGCCTCTGCATGATGCTGCACTTCAGCTAAATCATCATAGATCTTGCGTTATCCTTGTTATCGCTTTATTTGATTGTAGCACAAAACCAAATAACATGTCCAATGAATTAGAACATCTGGATTGATCCAAACACGTTTTTACTCATTATGACTTTTACTAGTCTCAGCGTGCATATGATAGAGAAACAAAGCAGTTTGCTCGCTTGTCTGAGTATTTCTCATGCAGCTGTTCCATTTACAGCCATGCCCGTAAGAACCATCCCAGCTGAAGAGCGAGGGGGGGCGGGGGGGGGGGGGGGGGGGAAAACCCCCGCCCCCTGCGCCCCAAAAATTTAAGGAACCCTGAAAATGTGAAAACTGAAGCGTTTTTTT